CTGCTTCCAGTAGTGAGGAAGGGCTTGGATTCTCCATGAAATTGTTGGTATAAGTCATCCAGTGCTTAAAGCACCGCCTCTGGTGGTCAGTAGGGACGAAATAGAACGATAGTTACGTCTGTAACTACGGTTACAGACATAACTATCGTTTCCCTGAGCTCACATCAGCACTTTGTTTAAGAGTAATAACAGGGTTGCCAACTCTCACGCATCTGGCGTGTGACACACGCTTTCACTCTCAATCTCACGCTAAAAACAAAGAAAACAAGATGAACCGGCGATCGTTTTTGGTTGGTTATTTACAATGTTGAGTTGACAGCTGCTCAAGCTGTAGATCCGCTCCCTCCACGCCCCCACCACTCTTAACAATGTTAACGGACAGCAGAGCAGTGGGAGCCGGTTGGTCAATGCCCGACCGGTATTGCACAGATCTAAGATTCAGTAGAAATGATAAAAAGTAAAAGTCTGCTGCTTATTGTTCTACTAGGCCAAAATAGAGTCAAAGAGTAGTACTCTATATGAGAGTGAGAGTGCGTTAATTAATATATTTGACAGTTTGGAGTAAGTCTGTAGATTTGTTTGTGTCTGTGTGTTTCATGTATAGGCCTCTGACGATAATTAATTTTGTTGGATACATTTTCCCGGAAATTACTGCGATAAACGATAATATTGTCGGCACCGTTGTATGACCATTTTAGACCACTGACATAATGATAATAATAATATATAATAATAATTCAAGTACATCCTTTCAAACTGCTAGTCACATCCTCATGTAAATGGCAATTTATCGGGGTCAGAAAAGTTATGGAGTTCATTTTTATTTATCGTACGATAAGTCAATTAATTGCTTATCGCGACAGGCCTATGCACACAATAAAACAGTGGAAACAAACATGTGTTTGACTTTCAATGAATGAAACGTTGTGCCCTTTATAGTCTGTGTCCAATATTGTGTATTTGTATATTGTATATATATATATATATCATATATATATGCTAAGGTCCCGCTACTGACACGATAGCAGTCATTTAGTGCGCTGGCATGTGTAATTAAACCCATGATATCAAAATCTCACTCCAGCCAGGTACCCAAAGTTGGCAACCCTGGTAATAAACCCTTGTGTAAAAAGTTGTTTTTTATTCTTTTGTTTGTATATCTGAACCATATGAAACAAAATGTAGATCCGGTGTTGTAAAAGCTGCATTCATTTTGCAGCACAATACAATAAGCTAACTGGCTAATTTATCTAACAAGAACCTTGTGACATTCATAGTTCTCCTTTTTGTTGAACGGTGTTCATTTTATACCAAACTCTCTTAACAAGCCTTAACAAGTTTAAAATGTCCCTAAATGTTGTTCTTTTAGGATAAGGCTTAGCACCAACAGTTAGCATAACATTATGCTAACCTTTTGGACAGCAGAAGATGCAGACACATTTGGTGTTACTCGTTAAGTCTAAAAGTACTAAAACAAGTTATTTTGTTTTGTTATTATGCTGTATAATATAGATAAATATATTTTAGTTTGTGTTGACGTGTTGAGTTCTCATCATATACAAATTAGGCATTTGTCCCTGGTATAACTTAAGTAGCTCTACTTACTTACAGCTCAGCTTTCTCCACTACGAACATTATTAAAACCAAGCACTGTTCCAGCCACACCCAACGAGCAGCCACACATGTACTTACTCAATTTTAGCCAGGACATAAACTTCTGCCAGTCACAGTCACATTTCTCTTGCTATGAAACTTATTTTTAAATATGAAAAGCTCACAGCTCTGTTTCTACTTTTTCGAAATAATTGTTTTGTTTTTTTTATTCAGAGAGTTCTGACTTGTTTTCTTTATTTGAAATGTATGGCTTCATTGTGCTAGAACCAATTGTTTTTTATTGTATTGATAGGTATAAGTTTGAAGTGCCATATAAGTTTCATGTGTTTGTATCCTTGAACACTATTATACATATTGTTGACATTATTTGGAAATTAACCTTGAGTGTAGACATTATGAGCTGCAGACTTGCACTTTTAGTATCGTAACATGTTTTTAATTGTAATTGACCACCCCACTTTGACCTTAAACAAAACGCTAAGCTGCTGTATGAAAGTTCCCCCACGCAGCTCTAAGCGGAGTTTAGCCAAATGATTTGAAGTTGTCATCTACAACCACGTATCAGGCTTCAGGCTTAAAGCTCTGCAGAAAGAAAAGGCTAGTGGAGCACCTCAGGACTTTTCACAAGGTGGTGCCTCTGGTTATGAAGGTTAAGGCCTTCGTGGGTTTCTGGCAAGAAAGGCAGCCTGGCAACCATCTGTTGAGGAGAAGTTCTGTAAATATTCTTATAGCTGTATTTCTTTAAATATTGGCTAAACCAAAGTTTGCAAATGTGTGTGGTGGTTTACAAAACTTTTCCCAAAGTCATAGCTTGTTGTCAACCTCATGGGTATCCACTCAAACACTTAGAAATATGCAGTAAAGTAATTAAAGTAAGTCTTTTTTAAATCGAATGATCCCTTTGACTTGATTTAGTCTGCACTCTTATGCAAGTGTCCAAACACCAGCATGGAATGCAGGGAGCTCAAAGCACTTATCAGAGTCTAGAAAATCAACCTCTGAATTTGCAACATTCTTAAAATGTTGGAGCTAAAACTGGGATTTCTAAATGTCATCTTGCGGCAAGGAATTCAAGTGGAAAACAGCTCAGAAATATGAATGAGATCTACTTTAAAAACTACGGCACACGACTCCTTTTTGTCTTTGCTTCATCGCTCAGGGCCTGTTATTTCAGAAGAGCTGCAAATCTGTAACAGGAAAATGGAACAACGTGCAGGAACGTATGCCAGATTTCTTCCTATAAAGTCTTGCCTTCTCACTGTCCCAATATGATCTGCTTCTTCACGCTGCGTAAAGGGCGTCAATTAACATTCCAGGTCTTGGCCTGTCGGGGAACTATAAATCATTTGTGCCTCACCTCTTCTCCGTGGTCACACTCCTTTCTTTCTACTGTAGGCATAATGACAGGAGAGGGGAAATGAGCTCAGCACGAGTTTAGGCCTTTTTACCCTTCTTTGGTTGCTCAATCCCCGGCATACGCTGCTGCAGCTGGTCTTCCACATGTCATCATTTTTTATGACAAGTCTTGATCTACTGCATCAGCCTTGTGGGATGAAAATTAACAATAAGTCCATAATGCATTGCAAGCAGGTTTTTTTTGTTACAGAAATATATATTTGCTGACTAATCAGAACTTAGTAATCATAAACTGTAAATTGGTATCTTTTCCCAGGCTGCCTGCATTTGATTGTAACTAATTGCACTTCAAATGTACACGTTGGAAAGCATCCAAAAATGATGAGAGATCCTGACCACTGAATGTTCCCGAACAGAATTCCAATCACCGCTAAATCTGTAGGCTATAGTGTACTTTTAAATGTGACGGGTACAGCCGGAAATGTTCAAGCCACGGTCTTAAAATTCCCGAGACCATGGAGCTGTTTGCCTCAGGGATGGATCTATAACTGCAGATTTCGACAGACATGGCACTCATTTGTCTTGCTCCATAGCCATGTGAATACCACTCTGAAACTGAGACACAAAAACATTCTTTGAATTTGTTAGTGACACTCATGTTGTGTCATTACATTACAATACATCTGGCAGTGCTTGCACATGTAGCTAATCCTGGATGCTGTTAATAATGATTTTATCTGCACTCTTTTTACTTTTATATGTAGATATTTATTTTTATCATCTTGACTTTTTACTTTTTCAGTATCCATAACAGCTGAGAAAATGTGCATCATAATACTTAGAGTAGAATCTTTCCTGACAAACACAGGCATGTTTAGGCATACAAGACCCCCCACAATTCCCTCTGTGGCAGACCATAATCAAAAAATAATTCAATATCCAAATTGTTTAGCGTTAGAAATAATTGTGCTAAGGTCTGAGTAAAGGTTCTCTGCTTCCAGTGCACTTTCCCTTTGACACAATCAAATATAAAGATAACTAACTATGCCCCGGAATTAGTAGTTGCAACAGGAATAAGGCAAGGCCCATGTTCCAAAGAACAAAATCATTTTCATAGTGTATTGAAATGACAATTGACTTTTAAGCCTGAATTAGCTTCACAAAGCTGTCACAGCTTGGACCTCCAATGCAGTTAAGGGAGATACTGCCACCTTCTGACGGCAGGACGGACTGCAGCACTGATTCTGAGGAGCAATAATATATATGAATTATTTTTCACTATAGCAACATGTTGCAGAGGCATGAGACTTCTAGAAAGTGATCAGATTAGCTAGCTTGATTTTATATTTCTGAAATAACAAAAATCTTCTAATTTACCCACAGTTAAGGGACTAATATGCAGTTTGAGGTTCTCCCTTTCCTGAAGTGTGTTATATAAGTGTTGTGTGCATGTAATTGCTCTGCAAAGGCTAAAATCCCAAAGTTACCTCCAGAGGGAGTATCTCTTCCACAAACTGCCGCCCTGCCTGAAATGCCTCCATTTAACTCCCATATAATGACATCACAATGTTACACTTGCGCTTCTATTGGCTAGCGCTCCAAAATGTTGTATGTGATAGGCTAAGGGGCGGGACTTCTTTATGCGGTTGACCACATCACAACAGAGCCGGTCAGCTAACCAATCAGATCAGATCTGAAAAAAGGTAGCCTACTGCAGTGAGAAAAATAAAGACCTTTTTGAACATTAAAGCATAGGAACATGTCACAGTAGAGGCACAACATACAAATATGAACCTGAAAAAGAGCATAATAAGTCCTCTTTCTGATTCTGGAATAATGTTTCTTCTTCAATCAGTGCATCAAAATAACTACATTTTTTAAAGTCAGGAAAAGACAAACCAAGAGTGACTGACCATTTAATGATCGCCAGAAGTAAGTTAAACAACCATTTATTTTACAGTTTTAAAATGTCCTCATGGAGGAACAGCAAAGTACACTCAAAATGAAGATTGATCAAAAGACAGTTTTCATATTAATCACCTTTTTAAGTTTTTTTTCTTTTTTCTTCTCATTTGTTTATCAAAAATTATAAGTGCCTTCAACATAACCATGAGAGTATTCAGCTTGCAGTCAGAAATATTTACACCACAAAACTGACAAGCGCAGTTTTTACTTTCAGCATCGGTTTCACACACCTTATCTCCTGTCTCTTTCAGACTGCTTTGTTTTGTTGCACAAAACAAAAAAAAGACCCTGAAAAAAGACAATTATAAATGGGAAAAATACACAAGAGCACAGATTAAGGACAATAATATTTACAGCTTGGCTCAAAGAGACAGTTATGGGGAGAGATGGAGACAGATGATCAACACATCCATTAGCGGCATGATGTCAAGTACACATTCTTGGCCTTCATCATTTCAGTTCACAATTTGAAAAAAAAGCATGCTATAGTCTTTCATGAAGTCAGGGCTAACATGACCTCAAGATGCAGTCCTAAATATGCGAGGATGATTTCCAGACAGCAGGGGGCAGTAAAGGTCCACATCAGGGAGGAGGAGAACAGGAATACGAACAGAAATGCAACCCCTACAATATAATGGTTCCTTCAAAATGAGGATAAAACTTCATAATGTAAAAGCACTGTAGTAACAGAGTTGGGTTGATGACCAATACAAAAACAAAAGGAATCAAGTCTGCCCTCTGAGGGGCAAAATACAAAGTCACATATGAAAATAGGTTCTAATCGCTTTTTCTCGATACATTTCGTGTGTTGAGCGTTTGCAAAAGACGTTTTGGCACAGAATCAATAAAAATATTTTTTTTTTCTTGAATATTACTCCTGGATCATGTACAGATCCTTTCCCCTATTCCCCTCCCTGCCCCCTCCCAAAGAAAAGAAAAAAGAAAACATTTGATGATCCGTCTTGTAAAATAATTCACTTGGTCTCTCCACATTGCTCAGTCTTTAAATATTTATAATATATACAGTTTCACAATAGTCCACAATACCCTAAGGCTTAAAGAAGTTGCAAACAAAAATAAACAAATTAAATAATCTTTATATAGTAGTCCCCTGTTGAGGCATTGAGCGTAAACTATACAACTCTAAACGTCCCCTCGGGATGGAGAGCTGAGTCCGGAAATGACGTAGAAGTTGGCTGATGGTGAAGGAGTGAAAGCAGTATGATGGATCAGGTTGAAATGATTCTTGATCTTTTTCTTGCGCAAGTGTGGCCGATCACGAGAGTAATTCCATTACATGTATAATTTTATACTCAAATCTATACAGAGTTCAACATTTTTCCTTAACATAGTGCAATGACTTATCATGTCGTTTGTCTTTTTAAAAAAAAAGAAAAAAATCACAATCCCTTTCATGAATGTAAAAAATGTCCAATAGGAAGGTCTCAATCCATAGCTGTATGGATTCTATGAATTAGAAAAGCTATGCACAACACCTCCAGAAATGGCAAAAAATGAAATGAGTTATCAAAAATGCTCATCAAAAATCCCGGTTCGACCCTTAAGATCCTCTCTGTAAAGGTATAGTTTTTGGAATTCGATGTCATTGATTGACTTAAGGACTTGGTGAAGTGAAAGAAAAGGCGAGTGCATGCTATATAAGATTTTCTTTTCTTTAAGTCAAACTCATAAAAATATGAGGCAATTCCAGTTTAGAAAACTGGACGAGTTAAAAGGGCTGGTGTTGGCTTTGTTAAAAAAAACAACGGAGGTAATTAAACAGAGGCAATGACAATCATGAGGTGAGGGGAAATGCTGGAGATGCTGTTGAGAAGGTCCGGGGCCAGGCGCGAAAGGTGGCTCTCCGAAAATTCACACGGTGGGAAAATCTGCACCACATAGGCTGGCTGTAATTCAAAAGATAAGAATAACATGATGAGAGATGGAATTCAATCTTTTTGATTTGTCATTGTAAAAGACAGATACAAGTAAAAAAGAAAACAAGTATTAATGACCACAGACCTGATTAGAGCCAGGGTTGGGTACATTGATAATGCCAGCTGCCTGTTTGGCCTGCAGGTAGGTGATGAAGCCACTTTTCAAGGCTTGAGTTTGACCAAGGACATCTTCTTGATCTCGACCACAGGGTAAAGCCAGTAGCAAACAGTAGTCATTGTCCACCTGCCATGAATGATAATTCTTTATCATAAATGTAAACATAAAAACACATCCGACAGAGTTAGGTTATTGGTCAAAATCCATGAATTGTGCAATCAAGTCTCTATTTGATTATTATTGTTAAACAAAATGTTCATCAAAACGTGCTTCTCTGAGGTAGTAAAAACGAAATTGCTCACAGTCATTCTGCGTGCCACACTCTCCAACTGGGAAGCCTCAAGCCTCATCCTCTGGACAATACGGAGAAAAGGGCCTCCCTCTGTGGGCGGTAGCGAGCGCTGGGCCAGTATGGTGTTGCCAGAAACAAAGTGTAACTGGACAGCAGCCTGGTCATTCTTCAGTGCCAACATACCTTGCCATACAATAGGGTATTTCTGTAAAAAAAAAATCACATGTTTCTTCATTGGTAATGTCTTGAAAATATATTTCATGTATAATGACAAGCTGGTTAATCTGCTGTTTTACCGTCATAAGCTGCACCATGTCAATGGAACGATGCCCCGAATGCTCCAGCTTAGAATCAGGCCGTGGATATAGCGAACTTGATTGAGGTGCAACTGGTGGAGGTGTTGGCAGGAAGGCTGGAGGGCCTTTCTGTACAGATAGATCTGGCTTGTGAGTAAGACTCATAGGAGACGACATGGGAGACTGGTATGAGGGGGAGACTGTATCCCGAGATATTCGGGAAATGTGGGAGAGGTCGGTAGAGGTAGCATGGCGGAGATGGGAACTCTCCGGCTTGGAATCACTTCCTCCCCCATATGACTGAGAGATTTTACCCCTGTGACTCATCTCAGGCTCCTGAGGAATCTGATACAAAAACAAATGAATAGTTCGGAATAATGTATGTATATGAGCATGCTCTAAAAACCATACAATACAATACATAATAAATAACAGTGAAATATTTGAAAAATGTCAGTAACAAAAGTTCCTCTACTGACCTGTGTAGATGTTATGCCTTGATTAGGCAGACTGTGTCCAGATGAAGGATGTCCTGGAAACTGGGATGGAAAGCCTCGCATGTCGCGATATATTGGAAAGGAGCCTGTCGCTCCTGGATGCATCAGCTGAACCCCATGTGGGTGAGGAGACACCAGGACAGGAGAAGATGCATGGACTCCCCTTATTCTACTTTCGCTGGGGGGTGGATGTATCACCTTTCCTTCTAGTGGTTTGAGAGATTCTTTTGTGGAAATATCAATGTTCTTCACCACTATAGGACTCTTTGAATGTCCAGAGATTTTACCTGAAGGAGTTGTCCTATCTGAGGACTGTCTTGCTTCTACAGCAGCCTGCTCTCCCAGTTGCTGGTGCATCAGGAGGCGATGGTGCATGTCTCTGTACTGATCCATGCGCATGCTTGGGTGGAGTACCCGGTGATCACTGTGAATCATCATTACATCTGATTGGAGCTGGGGCACAGAAGGTCTCCTAAGGGCTTGGTTAAAGTGTCTGTTGTCTTCTTCATTAAGACTACTGCCACCCCCACCTGATACTGACCCCTGGGGACTTGAATGGGATTGCAGTACCAAATCTCGGATAACATTAGGCTGCGATGTGTTTGAGCGTTGTAATTGCCCTTGGTGGGAAGAAGACAGGGAGTCACCTCGCCTTCCATAGTTTATCGCAGACATTGGTGGGGTGTTCATCCTGGCTCCCTGAGCCATTGCCTGAGTGACACTGTGAGGTTGTATTATGACGGAGGACTGTTCTGAGTGCGGGTGATGCATACTAGAATGATATGTAGACATTGGTGGCATGCCATGACCAAGAACAACAGAGGTTCCTCTAGGAGCAGTGCTTGAAGGACAGGCTTTGACAAAGTGTGAAGGGGATTGAATAGTTGTTCTTGGGGACTGGGGTTCTTGCTTTTGGTGTAGAGCTGACCGATCAGTTGGGATGCTAGGGCTCGGGCTCATGCGGCTTCCAGATGGTGATGGGTGGTGTGGGCTCATGACTGGGCTTAAGTTAGACTGCTGAATAGCTTTGCCAATGTCAATTTTTTTTGGAAGAGTTTCAGACCCCATTCCTCTATTGCCATGCTGCTGCTGTATCACAGCTTGGTTGTACATCAAGACTTGAGGCGAACTAACTGGCTGTTTGTACATCTTTACAACACCCCCCTGGGTTGTTGTGTGATAAGGGGCATCAGATTTGTCACACACAATACTCTCATGCTTCCTACTGGAAATGACAGGTTGAGAGTTATACGCTTGGCCAGTCAAGTGAACCCCTGTTTGCCCGTAAGCTGTATGTGTTGTGCCTACTTTTGGGGTAGGCGACTGGGATGGTGTGATGAGTGGGTCCTGCTTTATTGAAGATTTTGATACAGATTGCTGAAACTCTACATCACCAACACTGGCTGGAGGAATTTGACTAATTTTGGCCCTCATTCTGTGAGGTCCTTCAGTTTTCTGACTGGAATAACTCAAAACAACAACACCCTCTGATGTATTGACCCTAAGGCCAGGACTGGAGCTAGCACTGTAGGGAGTGGACTCAACAACAGAGCGTGCTCTAGTGCCATCTTCTACTATATCCATGCCATGGTACCGATTATTCTCATTAGGGTTTGATCTAAACTTTTGCTTGGGAATAGAAATTCCAATGCTCCGGTTGCTAAGAGATATCCGTGGAGTTTCCTCTGTATCATAAGGCATTGGAATTCGACTTATCACAGAGGTAACAGGAGAAATAACTGTATGCTGGATCTTGTCTCCACAGTTCTGTTGGGACTCTGACAATGGAAAGGGTTTGTGGTGTATGGGCTGAGGGGGTAAAGGTGGTCTCTCTTCATGATGTAACTGTCTTGAACCTACTTTTTCAGAGGGATTTTCATTCTCTGACATACGTGATGGTACCGACAGTACAGATGTCACCATTGTGGTAGGTATAGAATTGCTGTTTGATGCAGTCACATATTTAGGTTCCATTAGTATTTTTCTTAATGTACTAGAACTAGGGTCAATATCTGAGGCCTTGGTGTCAGGAGGCAATGGGGGATTTGTTGAAGGGGTTCCAAATGCAGTCGATGATGGTGGAGAAGGAGTTACCACTGTAACGTGACACGGAGGTGCAACATAGATTCTACTTTCTTCAATTCTAGGAGGCCAGTCTGGCGAAATTGGCATTTTGGCAGGCCGCAACAGAGGTATACTGAACTGGGACATAGGTTGTGGGCGCGCAGGGGCAAGAGTAGGGGTAGGTAGTTCTTCTACTTTTGGATGCTTTTTACTGCCGGGGATGTTGCTTTTGCCTGAATGAAATGCAGATTCTTTGGGTACAGGCTGTTCAACTTCAGGCTGTTCTGCCTCTTTGGGCGTTTTTACCGTTATAGCACTTTTCACATCACGCCTACAAGTTGCAACGGCAGTGACCACAGAAGCTGCTGCAGTGGCCCCAGCTGTAACAGTGGCTGCTTTTGAATTGATAGTTTCTGGGTCTTCTGAGATTGACTCTGGTAACTTCACTGGGGAGGGCTCTATTTGTGGAACCTCTTCAGCAGTATCTTTCTTATTAGCTGCAGCTTTGCGACCTCTTGACTTCTTTGGGGTTTTGGATTTAACTCTGCCCGTTTTTTTAGGTGTTTCAAGGAAAGGAGTATCATCAGCTGCCTTAGACTCTGCCATTAGCCCTTTTGGGCTTGGTGTCAGAGGACCTTCATCTGAGTCTGCAGCAAGTATACTGTTGATCACCATGTGTGTTTCAGGTTCCATAATCTCATTAGAAGAGGGGGATGTCAGGGATTCAGGGGTAGGAATAAGTGCATTGTAAGGAGGAGGAGCTGCAAAACTATCTGCATCTGCCAATATTTCTTCAGCTGTAATGGAATCTATAGCGGCTGCAAGTTCAGTCTCGCTTGCAGGATTAGCTCTCTTCTCCTCTTCAACCTCGACTTCTGGTTCTACGACTACAGGAGGCAATATGGTAGGTTGCTGTGACGATGGCTCCTTATACGGTCGAGGAGTTTGCTCAACTGTAAGTTTGGCAATGTTTTCAACTGCCTGCTCTAGTTCCATCTGCCGTGCTAAGAGAGTTGCTGGATCATCAGGAAGTTCAGGTTCTGATAGGGAGTCTTCCTGTTCCTGTGCATCAAGTTCTTTAGACTCTATTGGAAACCCTTTGATTGTTGTTTCCTCATTCTGTTTAACTACAATCTTGGTTTCGGTAATAGTGGATGCTTCAAATGACTCTGGCTCATCATCCTCTGAACGAAGTAAACCTTTAACGTCATCAACACTAACACGGATCTCAAGGTTTTTTAAGCTGTGTGATTTATCTTCAGTGACTTGCTTGGCATTTCTTTTCAGCCTTGATGTTTTTATTTTAACACTCTTTTCAGGCAGTTGTCTCCTATCAGAAAAGCTGGTTTCTTCCTTTTCAATGTCCCCATCAGTAGATCTATTTCCAACCAAATCTTTTGGATCGTTTTCAATTATGTGCACTGGAGAGCTTGAGTTTTCAGATAGCTTCACAAACAGTTCAGAATCAGCTTTAGGATTGAGTTCCCGACTTGCCAAATCAGCTTGTCCATCTAGCACTGTAGTGCTCCCAGACTGTTTGTCTATTTTACCTCCTTTCTTGTTAAGTGAAGTAAGTTGTATTTGTTGCACTTTCTGTGTGCGGGGTGAACGCCATCCCTCTACATTAGTGGAATTCTCTTTGACCTCTGTGTCATCTTCCATCATTTTCTGCTGTTCCCCCTTAATTGGTGAAACATCTACACCTCGCTTGATGCCTTTTTTAGGTGGGCGTCCGCGCCTTGCAGTGGTAGTTGGTATTGGAACATCTTGCTGTATTGGTTCTTTATCAGCAACACGTTTGCGCATGGAGCGGGATGACTCCAATACCTCTTTGCCAGCTTGTTCTTCTTCGTGTAGCGTTGCGTAGACTGATTTTACATTCCTGCGACGTGTTCTGCCATGGATCAGACTTGACTCAAGGTTTTGCTCAGAATCTGATGCATGAATTGGTGACTTGGATGTGACTCTGGACTCAATTGATGGTTTTGGTACTTCTGCCCTAGGAGATGAGGCCCTTTTGAGTTTCTCTCTGTCAATCCGTTCACTCTTTCGTGTTGCAGGCTTATCTGTGGCAACAATTTGGGATGTTTGTGAAGCACGTAATGCTGACAGTGGTTTTGCCCTTTTATTTTTGGGCTGTCTGCGGTTTGGTAATGGCTTTCTTTTAGCCTCAAGCTCTGGCATACATGCGTCACTATCTGTCTCAGTTTTCTGAGATTCTTCACATTGTTTTGTTTCCTGATTTGTTTCCAGTTTGTCTGGTTCTGTTTTAATAATCTTAGATTTGTCTTCAATCTTTGGATAGTCAGAAAAAGGGCACTCTCCAGTCTCTTTCTCAAAACCTTTTAGTGAAGCACCAGGAGTGGGAGGCTTTACTTCCACAAAAGGAGCATGTTCCACCACCAAACTATCTCCAATTTTTGCTTTGGGTTCAATTAACTCTACCTTTGTTTCCATTTCATCTTCCGGCCCCAAAGGGAGAAGTGGAGGGGTGATTGTTAGCTTAGGAGAAACTGGTTTCAAGTCTTCCATAAAAAAAGAATGAGCTGAAGATAACTCAACAACTGGCTCTACTTTTTCTTCTTTGACAAATGACAAAGGTTGATCTGAGGGTGGAGTTAATATGTCTTTCTTTTCTGTTGAAGACATTTCTTTTGGTGAAGGAACAAAAGGTGGTGTTAACAAGGTTAATGTAGGGCTGAGTGATGTATCATTTACCTTCAGTACTGGCTCAGATTCCTTATCAGACAGAACATTATCACACTTATGCACTTCATCTCTTTCAATCTCCACTGTTAAGATATTCTCAATGTCAGGGAGTGGATGGTCCTTGTCTCTTTGTTGTTGAAGCTCCAAAAAACGACTTTGGAAAAGCACTATGGGCTCTTGTGGCATGTCAACTACTCCGGTTTCAGGCTGTGCCTCAGTAGCACCTGGCTTTGCCAAAGGTTTGAGAACTCCAGACAATACATCTTGGTCTTTACGTTCAAGATGCTGTAAACGACGGGAATCCTGTTCAAAGATTGAGCTGTGCAGGAAGCGAGAAGCGAACAGGTCCTGTCGCTCTTGGTCCTGTGGCTTGAGTTCCTCTTTTTTATCATGCAGCTTTTCAACGGAGTCAGTACGAATCTTTTTCTTTTTCATATACCAAGAAGGAATGGGTCTGGGTGCAAGCTCTACCTTGTCCTTATCTGAACAGCTGTGGGAGGTTGGAAAGCGTGAGGGGAGAAAGGACCAATTATCTTCTCTGGAGGAATACAGTGTCTTGGCTCTTTCAAGAAGTGCTTTAGTATCAGGAGTTATAGTTTTATCTAATGCAAATGAATAAAACTTGTTCTTTTCCAATGACCCTGAAAGCTTCAGATCTGTCATCCTCTCATCGCGTTCCCTGAGGATATAAGACAAGGAATTGTTGGACTTGGGAGACATGTGTCTGATTTCTACATCATCATCTGAATCAGACTGCACTTCTCCCGGTTCTAAATCTTGTCCAATGCGTTTGTGGATGGTTTCACGTTTTGCAATATCACTGGGAAAAGTCATTTCCATTCTCAGTGAATCAGACTTTATTCGTCTTTCCCAACATTGCATTAACTCCTCGTCACAGCCAAGCAAGGTTGTCTTAAGCTTCGGGACATCAATGTCAGAAGACTGAAAATGTGTGGCTGTCAGGCCCAGACTGTTTTTTAATGACTCTGCGTGTGAATATTTGTCATCTGTTGTTGGAGAAGATTTTCTATCTTTCTTTATAACCGACAAAGAAATTTGGGCAGTTTCCTCGTCCTCGTTTGCAGAAAAGTGACCATGTTCTATTGATGAAGTGATACTCTGATAAATCTCCTCATTCAGCTTTTGGGTACTTGAAAAGTTGCGGTCTCTTTTTGCAGTGACTATTTCAAAGTCAAAATTCTCTAATTTTTTCCTTTTAGAAGAGAAGCCATCATTTGCCATATCCTGAATTGGTTTTGGAACATCATACATAATATAATCATTTTCCAAGTCATGAGTGTCTTTACTTGCTGGGTTTTTAAACTTGACTAACTTATCAGGGTCGACAAGTTTGGGATGGTGCCATCGACTTTGTTCAATTTGTTTTGTGCAAACACTCTGATCAATGTGGACAAAGTGTTCATCTCCGTCATCTGAGTCTCTGCACATCCCTCTTCCTTGTTTGTTTTCAGACAACATGTGTTTGTGTTGTTCTTTTAATTCATCCAAATCAATACTGACATAATCTGACATCTTTTTGAGACTGGGGCTGTTTTCACTTTTAGATCCCTCTAAATCCATTTTAAGGTAGGGAGAGTCTGACTGATCTGTAGAATCTTCAGGCACCTCCCCTAGTCGAGAGTGCTGCTCCAGAGAAAAGCCTACAGAGCTGCTTTCAAAGTCTTGTCCATCTTTAGGACTGCTAACTGAAACCATCCTGACACATTTTTCCATGTGGTGCTCCTTTTTATGCATCCCTTTTATCAAAAGAGTCTTATCAAAATCTGTCTCCTTAGCATTGCTCCATAGTTTATGAAGTCCAGGTCTAACAAGATCTTCCTCAATAGTTCTCTTCTGTCTATCAGTTTTCCCAGAGTCCTCAAAACGCCTTTTCCTTGCAGCCAAACGATCAATATCCACAGAAATACCACTGTCAAATCCCATTTCAGATTTTCCATGTTTTTTGGATTTGATTTTAGCATCCTTGTCAATAACCTCTATTAAACTCTGCATATGTTTGTCTCTGGGGACCTTTCCATGCTTAGAGGCATCATTTTTTGATGGTTCCAAACGGAATGGAGGACTTCTCTGGTCAGCTGAAGGTGATGCCAACCTGGGACTGTCACTACCACCCCTCTGTATTTGTTTTTCTTGGACAGATTGGCCAATCAACTTTCCTTCTTTTTCTTTAACACGTGTAAGTTGCACAACACAAGGAAGAAGGTCTAACCTTCCTTTGCTTGAGCCTTCTTTTGGGATTTTACAGTTTTTACTTCGAAGAACGGACTCAGGGCCAACATCTTGTTCAAGTTCAGGTTCGGTCTCAGATGCTTGGATACTAGGTGATGCAACTTTTAGCTTTTTAAGCCTCTGTTTATCACTTTTGTCCTTGTCCCCACGATCTTTACGTCCAGCCCGCTTCTCCTTTTCTAACAAATTCCCTCTTTCAACTTCAAAGACTCGATCTTTATCAAGTTTGTCAGTTTTAGTATACTTTTCAATGCGTGCCTTTTCAAGTTTTTCAAACCTAGGTGGGGAGATTGAACTGCAGCTACCACTTCTTTCAGAAGATCGGCAGCAAATATGGCGATCTGAATCACTTGGTATCCTCTCGGAGAGCGAAGGAGATGCAGCAGGACTGGCAGGACGGCGAGAGGCAATGTGAGATGGGCTTTGGCTACGCTCAACAGTCCTCCTTCCATGATCCCTTCCACGATCTGTTTCAAAGCGCTCTCTCTCTCTTTCACGTTCCCGTTGCAAATAGCTGTACTTGCGAATGTCCTGCTCATAAGGATCAGCTCTGTATTCTCGATATTCCCTGGGGTCTTCAAAGTATTGTGGATCAAAGTAATCTCCCTGATATGGATCCCATTCAGTAAAAAACTCACGACTTCTGGCAGGGTATTTACGACGTGAATCTTCAGTAAATGTTCCTGGTGTTCGTACATTTTCGTAATGTGGTCTTTCTGCTTGAAACTCATATTGAGTTCTTCGATCATCCCTGCTAAGAAATACAAACAAAAAAAGAAAGTTTTCATATTTAAGCATCAATAATATTAGTTTTAATTTGACAGAACTTGGGCAATTATAGTATTGCTTAAAGAACATACACAAACCTTCTTTCAGTGATAAGGTCATAAAAGTCTCGAATATCCTGGCCAGAAGCTTGCATTGAACGATAGAAAGCCATCTGACTTTCCTGATTGGCGAAGTCCACCTGAAAAAAAATAGGTTAATTTGCATTTTCTTGATTATTGAGATTGAGAATACTGAACATTACAGAGCAAAGCTTTGTTTTTCTTACCTTGATTTTACTGCCTCCAATCTTCCAACCCTTTGTGTCTTTGACAGCGGCTTGTGCATATTCAATGTTGTTATACAGGATAAGGGCCATTCCTTTCATTCTGTCAAATACAACCTGCGGAAGACAGAGTAAAATAGAGTCCCAAGGAGCCAGAAAGTAAACAATGGGCAACTGTGAGTGGGGAAATAAAACAGACTTACCTTGACAACATGTCCATAGCGGCAAAAATGCCGAGTAAGAAACTGCTCAGTGGTGTTTGACGCTAATCCATCCAACCAAACACATGTCGTAGGCATACTCTTTCCAAAGCCCAGCTGAAAAAGTAACGATAAAATGTCAGATAGCAATAACTTCTTCCATCAGTACAAAAGTAAATGGTGCTCCGAAATACTGGTAAAATAACTTAACGTGACTCACCTTTAGTCTATTGTTACCAAGGTACTCCCCATCCATCTTCTTTATGGCCTTACAGACACTGGCAATGTCACAGTATTGTAGAAAGGCATACTGTGGGGCTCCATTCACCTTCTTAATGTCAATATCCTTTGCAGATAAAAAAATAAAAACACACATGCTGTCAGTAAATGAGTTTTTTGGAAATGATGCATTGCATATTTTATGGCCCGTTTATTGAACCACATCACACCAATGACCTACCACAATTTCTCCAAAGCGTTGAAAAATGTTAAGCAGGTCATGGTAACTGGTGGTCTTCTCCAGGTTTCCAATGAATAATGTTCGCGTGGCCTTTGGATGAAACTCATCTATCCTCTCATCCAAGGGTCGAAACTCGTTCTCACTTTCCGTCTCTGAAAAATACATTGAAAGCTCATTTGCACCTTTGTGCGTTTTGATGATTCATATTTGTGTTGCAATATATGTAAAGATAAGCACGTACCAGGGCCATTCCATGCAGTTACTTCAATCTGCATGCCGAAAAAAAGCTTTCCCTTTGATGCTCCAAGTGCTTTCTCTTGGTCCTCTTGCTGGCGGAAAAAGACAAGCCCGTAGCGCTCCTCTGAAGCTCCGTGGATTTGTACAGACGTGACCTTTCCATGTTTCTTAAACTCATGGAACAAACCATCCTTCAGGCTCGTATCTGTAGTAGACCAAACAAATGTTCTTTTAAATGTGTATACCAAGTAAAACATTTTTTAAACATTTTAATAGATATACAGTAAAAACTATTATTGCTGGATAAAACCGACCTGTAGAGCGCACAGGAAGATTTTGGACCTTGATGCCAAAGCTTTTACGTGGTTCATCCTTGTCAAGAGAGGATAAAGGAAGTGCTGAGGGTGCAGGAACAGCAGCAGACTGCACTGAGCGTGCTGGGGACTCATCACTTGAGCTACTGCTTGAGTCACTGTAACAAAGGAAGAACATTCACTTAGATGTTTTTGAGAGTTAATAGTCTAATCATCATGGATGTTAAATCATAAAATTGTCATTCTCTGTTACTGCGAATTGTTGTTGCCGTTGTCCATCTAAGTTACCCAAAAGAAAGTAGTAATTGATCATTTAACCTTAAAAAAATAGTAAGATGTAATGATATAATTTGTAGACCCGATGCACATCTTTTTATTTTGCAGTGCTACACTGCAAGTGCTAAATGCTATGCCTCTAATAAATAATTAATATATTGGAAAATATATACTAAATGCTTTATTGCAATGCGGATAACAAAAGTTAGAAATGTGATTTTTGTAGACACACAAAATACGTTTTCTCTTACTAATCTGCAGGTAAGGGATAGGATTACAGAATTAATTGAAAAGGCAATTTAACTTGAACATGTCAGATTTAATAAATAGTGATGCATTTTGATAAAAGCCCATGCATCATGAATGTGTCTGTGAAAAGCACAATGTCTCTCAGCAGAAGAGGAACATTTTCCTCCCCAATTTATTCAGTGCATCTGGCTATCAGTACAAAAAGGTTGGATTTGCCCATCAGTGGCAAATTCATGGCCGCCTCATTCCCATGCTTCTCTCTGCTTTCTAGGCCCTCTGCTGTTTGTTTCCTTCTCACTTTCTCCTCCTGTGCTCAGACACTCCCGGAAGTGCTGCTGACGGAGCCTGGCCTGTGGGAGTGGGCATGCAGCCATCACTGGCCAGAAATTTCCAGTTCCAACTGGATCTCACGGAGGGGGGGAGCCATTACACAGAGGTAGGCAGTGAGAAAAATATACCAGCCGTCTCCTGAAATGTTCCCCATAGCACTACCTCGTCAAACCACACGTGTCGCTGCACGCTGTTCAAAGCTGCGGACTCTGCTGTGTCCAAAGGTGATGCAGTAATACAAAAAAAACTGGAGAGGGCTGAGGGGAATATATGTAGTGGAGTAAATCCAATGGACAGACTTGCTTATGTTTCCTAAACTGCACACTGCAGACATTTGAATTTCCTAACCTTTGGTTATTTATGCATACATTGTACAACTCATCGTCTACCATAAGCTAAATCAACTAATAAAAAGCAATACACTTAGAGGGGAAATCTGGATGCAAATATCACCACAACAAATATACAAAAACAGATCAATTAGCATGTCAAATTCAGCAGAGGCCAGATTCACTGGCGTAACAAAACGCACAGCCATCATATGTAATATCAAACACGCAGACCTAAACTTAATCCAAAGCATGATCAGTAGAAATAAACCAATTCAGAACAAATCGCGAGACAAAAACCGTGCCATTGCAGCAGTTACAAGCAGCAAAGGTCATTTTCCAGGCTTTGGCTCCCACCAGCAATCAGCTACCCAGCCACCAGCCTTGTAAAAACAGATTAGTCATCTGAAACAATGCAGTAGTGATCATACAAAAAAGGGCAAAGTAGAAATGTGCACACTGCTTCAAAGGTTTACACATTAACAAGTTGTTTTTAAAAAGATGTTAGAAAAAACATACGATGGACTTTGTAAGTGATGTCATCTTTCAAGGTGGCGCCATTGCCCATATAACAATTGATGTGAATTCTGACATTATGACACAGTATTAGGAGGTATGATGCCTTGAAACGGTTAATTTTATAAACCACAGCTTCTGTATTAAGAGATGTCGAGCAACAGTATTTTTGATAGGAGTCTGCACTAAACTGTGAAAAAAAATTAAATGCACCAGCAAGTTGTTGCTTGTTGTCTTAAAAACAGTCGCAGAAATGAATACAGTTGATATAAAAATATGGGGAAGAAATTCCATTAAGTTTAAAAAATAGGGACGTTTTGTGAACACTATTTATTTCCCCGATATAGAAATCAATTCTAAAATTGGGTCTCCATTTGAGAAAAGCACACCTGTTTATTCAGCCAGACTTAGAGTTTTTAAATGTTCCTCTGAAGATTTTGCTGAGTGGTACAAACAAATATTTCCCTGACAGTGTTTGTAGGATTTTCCTTGAGTAGTCCATATTACGTTTTTTGTAGATCTGAGAGTAACGTTGAAAAGTAAATTGTGATCATCTTAGAAATTTGATGTACTGAGTATACCCTAATATTATAAATGTACACTGAATAACAGGGAGTGCAGACATTAAGGCTTTTTTAGCCTCCTCCCCAAATGTATTCCCCATCCTACACGTATGCAGCAGAAAATGATAAACAGATGGCGACATTAGTATTAAAAGTATAAGAAGCACTGGTTGATTCTCTGAAATAAAGGTGTACAGTCATTTGAAGCAGCATTCAGAGTTCCCTTTTTTTATATATAAATACTCTGTCCAGCACTTGTTTCAGAGTGGGATGCGCAAAGGTAAACAACAGCCACGCGCAAGGGTAGAAATCTCAACAGCTTCACTCACCTGCCACTCGTGCTGCTGCTGGTACTGCTGACTGAGTCTGAGCTGGAGGAGCGGCTGTGGGAGCCTGACCCGCTGTGGGAGCGTGCAGGGCGGGTAGCCTGACTCGCCAGTCTCTGAGGAGAGGGATTTCGCGAATGTGTTGAGTGTGGAGACCGGCTTCGGCTGTGGCGATACGACCGCTCCCCGTGCCGACCCCTGTCCTCCCTGTAAAGGTCCCTGTGAACCACACTGGCCAAAGTAAAGGTTTCCCTGGCACGAGACTCGTAGCGAGGCTCTGGAGTCTCGAAGCGGCATGGGCTCCCGCTGTGGGCGCGGTAGAAGCCCACAACGCTGGACGTAGATCCACCACTTCCCCCTGTCGTGGCCACTGCTGATCCAACTGTTCCAGTGTTGGCAGCGACAGTGCTAACGATAGTTCCACTGACTCCGGGCGACACCGATGTACAGCTTCCGCTGGAGGTACCAGACACACTCCCAGCTGTGCTTAGAGTCCTCTCTCTAGCCTCACGATAATAATCTGTTTCGTAGTGCCGCTGGCGTTCAAAACTGCTACCAGGACGCTCATGATGTCCGTAGGCACTGTGATCGTAAGCCCGATCCCGACTTTCAGTTGTCCTAACAAACAAGAAGAGAGAACAACATCACATTACAGTTACATTCAAGACAGCTGCTAGCATCTGACACTGTCTGACATTGGACAAACACATTTATCAGGTGTCTCTGGTGGGTTTTTCTTAATTAGACACATGGGAAGACAGGGTAACAAAGTGTTTGGAGAAGGGTAGTTTTCAGGAATTTAGAGAGATCATTCCTCAAGCCTATCGACTCAACTACAAATGATGAACTGAGCATTTCTAAACTTTTTTTGACTTGAAGGTGAAGTGTTTCAGATTATTTTGCCATCATATGAACCACTTGATATTATTTCTACAACAAGTGCTGTAGGTAACTGTATTGTCTTTGAACGCCAATCCTTCATCATGTTCTCAGTTCAAGCATCAAAGGAATACATCACTTGTATATCCTTTTGTAAAAGGCAACACAGTATTTTGAAACCTTAATAAACAAAGGACAACCAAAATATATTTTAGCAAACAGCATGCTTTCAGTGTTTGAAATAACATAAATCTATAGCTTATTTCAAAGTATAATTGTAGGATATAAAAGACTCGTACAAAGATTTTTTATATTAAAAGAAAGTCACGCCTTTATAGATTGTCAAGTCATTCTGGTCTTGCAACTACAACAAAAGCCACTTTTTACATCCATTTATCTGGGAGGCTTTGTTGAAGATTTCTGAAGGTGACTTATGACAATCCTTTTGTTTATAATGTAACACAATTTGACACCACTTGTTCTCCTGAAACAAGGTCTTCAAAGCATCTTTTATGAAGGTGCACATTAGAAACGATGCTAACAAGGACGCTCTGCACAGACCCGAACATCCGCGTTCTGAATAAAGCAATCAGAATTGAATTTGGTAATACCACCGCTGTGTCATTATAGCATAGTCATATTACCCAACTCCCAGTAATGAGCGGGACAGGACAGCAATTACCACTGTTTGAATTCCGATCAAATTATAATCAGAACATTAGCCATGATGTTCCAACACAGGGAGGAATATGGTTTTATATAAGAACCCTTACATACCCTCATTATAATGGTCTTTTGAATAAGATGTTTTCTCCTTCATCCAATTTAAAAAAGAGAATGGAAAAGATTTAACACTCAAAACGGTGGTGGATTTTAATGGTAAACAAACCTGAACTGTGTAACATCAAAGGTAATATTCTGTTCAAAACAGCCATTATGTTATTATGGTTGATGAAATGAAGATGCACTGTATCTTGTTGGGCTAGTATTTTAATGTTCCTTGGTTTATGATCTTTTAAGACCCTCAATAACTCCCATACTCGCTCCCTATATTTTCTGTCAATATCTACTTTAAACTGGAATTTAAGTTTCAACAAAAATAATAATGTTCTTTCTTGTTTCAGAGTGAAATTAATTTCAATATTAAGTGTTCGAAAAGAAGAAATCCAACTAATTCCCAAGAAGGGGTTTATTAACTGTCCTTGATGATGTACACATATTTTGGATATTTGATTGATTTGGACCATCAGAGATTGTTTTGATTACATCTGTGTATAGATGTGTGATGTGTTGCATACTGCATGTGTGCAACACATCACATGTCGCTAACGAATGAAAGACGTTTGTAACATAAAGAAACTTCTGAGAATATTTATAACTTGAAGAACGGATACCAGCATCCTTTGGTCTTATTTTTTTAACACATAAATACTCTTTATTACTTCCATCAGACATATTTCATAGGCTACATTTTGTTATGCTTTTTTGTTTTATCCTTTTCCAACTGTAAAAGATGCTGTGTTGTGTTTCCACTAGAAATGTTATTAATTGTTTTCGATTATATAGGACATTTTATACCAGTTGATTTGATATGGAAATGGGTTGTCGCACAAAAGATAAGCTATAATTATTGAATGTTTTGTACATGACTCTTAATAGCTAAAACTGCTTCCTGCATCTCACTTTAGAAACCAAGCAGCACAAGGTGTTAACAAAAAGCTGCTGCCATTTCTCCGCAGATATACGGCATAAGTGTCTTCTTATGCCTGAAAAGCATTTTGGTAAATGATCCATAAGGTGAGTTTCTTATAAATAACCAACCTGACCTTTAGAATTGACAACAAATGTGTAACTCATATTCACACACTGTAACTGAAGACTTTGATGGACTGCATTCATCCCCTAAAGTTAACCCTTTGTACCTACGTAACCCTTTAACCATTTCCACAACCATGTCTTTATCTGATTCATTTCGAGGATTCAAACTTCAGGTTTGTGTTTGTATTAAGGACAAATTAAGGTCTACGATACATTTTCAGTGCAAGTCACTGTGCAATTATTCTATACTATTTTATGTGAAATATTCATCCGTGTGAAACATTTTACATTAATGTAACCTATAGACACTAACAACTTCCATTTATAAGCTCATTAATGGTAATCTTTCATTAAGCCTTTCTAACAAAGGCAATTGCCATGGGGCAGAAGAACAAAAGATGGCGTGAGATGCATAGAGTCTCCTGGATGTTGAGGATAAATTAGTTTAGAAGACCCACACAATGTCTGTATTTCACTGCACTATACATAAGTACAGCGGGTCAGGGGCAAATTCTGTTTCAGCTTATTTGATTTAATCATGTGTGTGCTGGATTCATGAATAACATCTATGGTATAACGATGTCTGCTGTGAAATTGATGGATTACCTTGACCCCCGGATGCTCTCGAAAATGCTAATTTGGTGGCGCAGGCTCACTGCTCAATAGATAGCCTTCAATTTCACTTCAATTTCACTTTACACAAAACAGGTTCTCCATAATTCATGGAGCTAAAAAAATAATTCAGTTAGACTTTTTTTTTTGGCAGAATTTCCATCAGTGTTTGATTATTAGTCTGCTCTGGTGCATGCTAAGCAAATCAACTGTTATGGGATTACGTGAACAGCATAATTATAAGGATGCATTCCTGCAGCATGCTAAAAAGGCCTCCAATGTGGAGAAGCCATCTGGGAGCAATACATGCATATCAATTCTATCCCAAAAATCCCAAAACTATTTATAAATAGCTTAATGTTAAATATCTTTCTGCCGTGCAAACCAGCAGTTAAAGTGTGCCGCTGCGGAGCACCCTGTTATCTCTGCAGGCAAAAGCACTAACCACAGAGTTTGGGTTGGGCTTCCATCACTGTATGTCATTTTATATCATGATTGTGATACATATTCTTGTCTAGTTTCTTGAAACTTAACTGACAAACATTTTGTTAATAAAATAACCAAATTGGAAGGTCTGCTTTTGGTTAATCCAGTGAATTAAATCCTAATTAAGGTAATCCATCAAACTGAAGAAGCAATACGGTAAAGCCGGCTCTGCCATGAATCATTCCTGCTTATTGATTTGCAATATTGCCTACCAGTCGAATATAATCAGATATTAAAAAATGCACAGATACCAAAGTATAAATGGTCGAGAAAAATCTCTGACCGTTGGGACATTTCTACCATTTCACAGCAATTATCGTTTTTTCAGCCGACCGTACATGGAGACGTTTTAAATCCAGTCAGGGACTTTGGATGGATTTAATCTCTCTACCTGCATATTGCCTGAAAATGACTATGGTCAACTCTCTAATAAGAGTGAATTGCTATCAAATTATCTTAAATATGTTACATTTCTCAGGCGTTTAAGATCATATTTTGAATCTGCTGGACAGGTTTAATATTCAAAATAAACTTGCTCATAAAAAAGGAAACCTAGGGGTTTTAAAACTGCAGCTGTAAGGCAGGAACAAAAGATCCTGAGCCTCGAAATAATCATTATTTCATTATTGATGAATAGGCAGGCTTTTATTTTTAATTAAATTGATCAATCATTAAGTCCATAAAATGCTTGGTCGCTGCTTTTTCCTAGGGCCTTAGGTTATATTTTTGTTTTTGCCTACAAACTGTCAGAACCTCAACCTGAAAATGATTGAATTGGAAATGAAATGGAACATATACAAAAGAAGAACATCCAGCAATGTTTGGTATTTTTGCTTTATGAAAGACTTATATCTCCTCAATATATAACGACATAAACGGACCTCCACAAAGATTGAATTGGAAGCAAATTCAGATATCATTTTAATGATTATTTAATTCTGTGTCCTTGTTTTCCAGAGAAAATGGGCACATTGCATGAATATATTTCAATTTTTTCATCTTTAAATTCTATCCTTTTACCTTTAAATCATTTTCTTTTCCTATTTAATTCTAAGTATTATTACTTTAGTTTGCCACCGCGCCTTCTAACTGCAAATATTGTAAAAACATTTTTTAAATCTTTAATATTTAGGATCTTCCACAGCCCAGTCATTTTGCTATATTAAGACCGTTTTTTTATATAGATTTTTTTTACTTTGATTAATATGCATTAATAAAAGCTCAAATATTGATCTTTCATCAAGAAGGACTGGGGTTACAGTAGTTAAAAGTGGTCAGTTCAGAGGAAGAGAAAGGAAAACGATACAAGGTAAGGTACAGATTTCTGTATATAGACAGTAATGCATCTATGCACCAGCTACTTCGGTTAGTGGGGAAAATTGAGAAAGACAAGGGTTCAAACTAGGGGGGTTAGAGAGGACAGCTAAAATACACAGGGCAGGACATACCAACCTTTTGAGAGAGTGGTAACTTGACCTATAATTCCGAATAAAATCTAGGGAGATAGAACTTTGTGAGCAGAAAAAATGGGCAAAAATGTTGAGTGGAGATGGAAAAGAGTTGAAGCACAATTGTTCACGTTAGAAAATGTAATCCTCATTATCGGGCAGGGAGCCTCGTGTTCTTAGATATATGTGTCTGTTGGATTTTAAATGATGAAAACAAACTTGGCCTTTTTACGGATCCAGGTTAGGATGTTTTGTATGCTGGATAATGTCAACTGGAGTTCATATAACAATCCAAAAGTGGGGGTAAAAATATCATTGCTGCAGTCGAGTCCAATAGAAAATAAATACATCCAGGAAGTGCGCCATTGATTCCACAACAGCAATGATGAAAGTGACAAAAAAATTAAGTCTTGCGTCTTTAATTCTTGAAGTCCTGCACATTCCGTGTTGGTTGCAATCTGCACAGCAGTAAAGTCAAATTCCTTTGGCAAAGGGAGGGATGTATTGCCATGGCGATGAAGAATTAAGAACATGTCTCTTAATGGTAATCCAAATTCTTATTTTTTAGAAGCACTTTCCCAGGATGGAGAACATTTGTAGTTCATGGAGGTTCATGTCTGTTGTCGATCTCTATTACAAGCAGAAAAGGCCTGCATGCAGTCGAAACCAAATCAGATTAGACAGGAAATGGTTCATTTTTGTTCTGTTTGCGGTTATATCCATGGTTAAATTATAGTTCCACATTCAGGAAATGAGCAGGTAATCCACAGGCATGAGGTAGGTTATCTCCAACGTCAACTTTCCAGTCTTAATTTTCAGCATTCTTCTTTCAATTTGTACGATCCGAACATAGTCCATGTTGGTCCTCATTGAATCTGCGAGTCTTAGTTGTTGAAAAGTAAAAAATAATCTCCACAAAAATAAGGCTGGAAAAAAAATAATTTGCTCACATGTTCCTGTTGTCTCTACTGGGTTGAATCACCAGTAGAGGTCTCCCAGTACTCAAATGGTAATGCCCTGATTTTAGATATAATCCAAAATAAAACAAAAGAACCAAGAAAGCAACCCATACCTTTAGCATGATAGCATATCCTTACGGTGTGAGGGCAGTGTTAATCCAACAGAGAGGAATATCCTGTGTAGGTTATCCACATGACTCCAGCCTGTGACCAAATTGAACACCTCCGTGGGATATGCACGATAATTGAACACCAAATTTGACAAATCCAATAGTGTCTTATACATAATGTGGTTGTTTTGTTACATGGAGGAAAAAAAAGGTGAAATTAATCCACCAAGCAGGGCGCGTATCTCCAGATTAGGGGAATCCCATGGATGGACGCTGGACCACTCTCTCTTTTTTTCTCTTTTTGCCTCTCTCTCTCTCTCCAGCAATCTCCAATAATCCTGGGAAATTTTACGATATCCAATCTTTGCCCCGTATTTTCCGCATATGATACATCCACCTCAAAGAGATGTAATCTCCAACACATGTAACTATTCACTATTCCTTTAAATTATACATACACAATATGCTATCACTTATGGAATATCTCTGTCTACCTGTGAGTCAATCCAGGAGTGCTGACCACTCTCTCTGCTGTGATCTCTATACGATTTAATTCTCGCACTCTCTTTCTCCTCTCCCCCCCTCAACAAGTAAATGAATAGATGGTGGGAAGATGCTTGGAGGTAAGGTGTAAACCAGGAACAATGGTTCCCCCTGCCTTCAGAGAAACTTTGTCCACTTACCCGTCTAGTCTGCGTTCATAGCGTCCATCTCTGCTGTGGAGCGACGTGGGGGGCCCATACACGGCTCCCCCTGCCGCCCTTGTGAACCCTGATACATCCCGGCTACGAGAGCCTAAGGACAGACTATCGTCCAGCCCCCTCGCGGCACTAGGAATGGTGCCTGGTTCATTGTAATCAGTGCGCAGGTCTCTGTCCCCCATCTTGTTGATAGCATTGTGAGCCTTCTGAGCACTTTTAATGTCCACAAAATCCACAAAGGCGGCGACTCCACCTTCTGAACCCCGCTTGGGCAGGACCTTGACACTCTCCACACGTCCATATCTAAAAGAGAAAACAAGGGGATAGGTGTTGAATGGCAGTTATGTTGCATTAGTGTGAATTAATTTCCATACAGTGTTTAGTTTAATTAATTACTAGTGGAAATATTGCCGTTTCCTGAAAAATTATAAAAATTGTCAAATGTCATTTTGTGTGTGTGTGTGTGTGTGTGTGTGTGTGTGTGTGTGTGTGTGTGTGTGTGTGTGTGTGTGTGTGTGTGTGTGTGTGTGTGTGTGTGTGTGTAGAGGTGGGAGGTAAAGGTGGCTCTGCTACTCTTATTTTCTGCTCTTTCTCTCAAGGCAACAGTAACCCAGCAACTGGACTTGAAACCATGGCACATTGCATGTTAATAAATGCATATATTTTCTAACATTAGCATGTTGTATAGGAGGAGGGTTATAGCTGCTGGATAGCGCACAGATGAGGTTGGGGCAGCATAAAAAAGGACGTGACATTTCCTGATTCGCTGTGTGTGGGTTTAAAAAAAAGAATCTCAATGCATTATGCATGTCTATGGCTCATTCTGTTTTTCCACTATTGGCAATGCACTTTTGGTGCAATTTGACATTCATCTTATCATTTCCTCCTTTTCCCTTCTCTTAAAAAACTGCTCAATATATAAAAGTTTATGAGTGTAAGTGTCATCCCATTGTTTCCTTAAGAAGTCTGTTAATAAATGACAATATACCTCGTTAAGTGATGGTTGAATTGATGGGCCAAATACAAAATGTGCAAGCTCAGTTCTTGGGTTATAAAGCTTTCTGTTTGAGCGTTGAGTCCCCCCCCCCCCCCAACCTTTCGGGAGTGTTTTTTCTCTGTCCGACAGAGACAGTAGGGTGCCCATACATTTATTGGCATGCCAGTTCCCAACATTGAACAGCCTCCGACGCCATTTTAGAAAAGCTGTTCACACTGCTTACTCATTCTGCCGTCCCCCATCTTCAATGACTTCTATCACACATCGGGCTGTCATGCACCTGCATGCTCTGGCTACCTCTGGGTTAACGCTGGAGCTCAGGCGGCGTGCTAAAAGAGACCCTCCGACACAGTTTCCCCTCCGCAATTGGAATAACATGCAATCCAGTCACCATCCCCCAAACATAACGTTACGCACATTATAGAACGGGCTTATGTAAATTAAAAAACGCCAGCCCATTATTGTGTGGACGGCTGCATGAATAAGACGCGGATCATATTTGTACTTCAATCATGCATCAGACAACCGTAACGAAAACCAAAAGAGTGCAAAGCAAATGAATAATCATCAGTTTGTGTATTTTACAGTCGTATGCTGTGGCAACGTTGTGGGGAACATAAGGTGCTTATCGGTTATAATTGTGTTAAACAGACATGTATGATTTATGTTTGTAATTAAGCAGCTTCCCACACGGAGACGCTTTCACAGAAGAGATCGCTGCTCATATGTAGACTATGATGGTGTTCAGCAGTCTGCTCTCCAGCACATATGGACGGACTGACGGAGAGGTGGGCTGCTATTTCCTTAACAGCCGAGAAGAGAGAGGCAAGAGCGCGCAGACAGCCCCACGAAAATTCATATTTACATTTGTTTTCTGCCTGCGAGGAAGACAACAAAGAGCCGAAAGCCCATAAAATGTGCACGGGTTCAATCTGCTCCAATAGCCCGTGCAAAAAGCACCAGTGGATCTCAATCAGGGTATCGTAATTTAAAATATCGATATGTTGTCTGATTTTCCTTAGATCAAATCACGCTGCAGGCTGTGCCAGTCAGCAGCTGGGGGGGAAGCAACGCGGTAATAATGTGTCAAAAATATACCGATTCCTGTGCTCGCACAAAGTCGCAGGCAGCCTACGACAACGTTACAATATTGCATATCAGTTAACACGGGATTCAATCACAGCCAGTTTGCATCAATGTTGCAGCGAGCGTGGATGTCGCGTCACCTTTTAGCTTTCACTGACTTCTCTTAATATTTGGAAAATTCGGTTCTTGCAACAGCTACAGTGCACTTTGGTAGATAAATACACAGTGTGCAAACTAATCATACAACCGTTTGTGGAATCAGTAACCTGACAAACTCCTAGAGAGTCAAGTGAAACACCGGGTCAGATTTTCTCTGGCATCATAAATACACACGGCGGTAGACTTAATACTGTGTGCCAGAGATGCACACTGTGAAATGCATGGAGTTTGTACAATGCTAGCAGCTCGCCAGGTATAGGCTGAAGTTTGTTTACACTGTTGTAGCAACAACGTGTTTCCTTTACGTTAGCCAGGTGGAAATGAAAGCTTCTTAAAAGTGAAATGGTTACCATGGCGTGAATGAAAACCCCTACAACGTGAAATGACAAGTGAAGTTATCACCAAGCCTACAAGTTAGTGTCAATATGGCAAAACCATATGTCCGCGAGGAGGGTGTTTGTCGCCTGCTAGCCGTTGTATTTTTAATCAGAAATGCAGCACAGTGTTGTCGCTTATGGGGAGCTGACAGCACAGTTGCCAAATGGGACTTTGCTACAGGGGAACCTCCTGCTTTATCCCGACTTCACTCAAATGTGACACAGAGAGAGATGCTGGCCATGCACCCGTCGTCACATCACAAAAACACACACAAGCACACGTCGCTCATTAGTGTTACTCACCGCTTGAAGTGCTCAATGATTTTCTCTTCTCGCACATTTTCGGGTAAATTTCCCACCCATAAATGTCTGGTTTCCCGTACCATACTGTGGGCTCCTGCTCCCCTATCATACAGATGAGTTTGCTATGTCAGTTCCTTGCCGTGCAAAAAAGAAAACGTTTGCAAAATAAACGCCGCGCAAGAAAAAAAATAAGCGGCGCAAATCATTGACTGGTCGTTGTGAACCAATGTAAACCATTAGGTTGGATCCCCGCACGCTGTTTGATACTGACGGCCCCTACACTGTTAAAGCGCGATCTTGCACCTCGTGAACGCGCTCCGGACTGTTCCCGTGACTAGGCGCGTCCCTGACACCATGCGACCTTTCGGTGTCGAAAGAAAGCATGTAGCTTCCTAAAAAGATGCAGCAACTTCGCTTGTAATGAGGGGCACACCGCGCAGGCGTGGCTTTGTGTGTGAACTTCTTTTTTTCTCCCCGATGAGATAGTCTTGAGCCCATGCGCATGCGTGAGAAAACCCCTGGTTGAATGAAGGTGCGTTGACATCTGAGAAGCTTTCAGGAGGATTCCATCAGTGCTAGATGGGTATGGAAATGTGTGGCACTTTGCATACAGTTAATAGCACTGATTTTCATATTCCTTTTTACATTGTTGTTATTCTTATAGGCAACATTTTATGTTTATCAAAGCCCAGAAACAGCAGGTGAGTCATAGGCCAATATTTGTATTTTTCATGGAGCATTCAGGGTCACTCTATAGTGTAGGCCTACTTCATTTATATATCACTGATACATTATTATTAACTACTGGTGTTGTGATGGACTCCAGCTTTCTTTGAACCAAAACAAAAACACTCGTTGAGAAATGAATGAATTGATTAATGACAAATAAGGCCCCATCTTTTATTTTTGCCTCCAGATTACACAACATTGTCTAGATTATGTCAGAAAAAGAATATTACATGCAGGGTTTAAGTGACACATTATGCCGTGCTGAGCTAACCCACCTCTATTTAAACAGAGTCCAAAAAGGTTGTTGTAAATATTTGGACACAGAGCGGAAACTAAAGCCTACAGGAAACCGGATATTAAGGGTTTGTAAGAGGTGATTCTGAATATTAAGAGCTCATTTGAGGCCCTCATGGGCTCCAGTAAAGACATATAAATGTAAAACAATATTGTGTGACATCACTCAGATCTGTATGAACTCCATTATATTTACATTTCTCAAATATTGCTCTGAGGTTAAATGAGCAGCCCTTGGATAAGGTAAATCGTAAAAACCAATTCAGCCTATAATATTTATTATTAATAGTTTTCTTTTATTGAACACAATTTTGGCCCAAACATTTAACATTCAATTATACATTTATGTATATCAAAACCGAAGGAGACGTTGAACATTTCTGCATTATATGTGTTTTTCTCTCCTCATTTATTGATAATATACATATTACCACAGTGAAACATGTGCAGAGAAATACTCTGATCACAAATGCGTAATATTTGACTATAGTTTAGCAACATTTGAGCATTTCCTATAATTAGTGAATATCACCAAAACCGATCTATCCATTAACAAATTGACTGCATGCTTTACAAGAGCAAGCAAGAGTCTATAGGCTACTTTCAATTTATTCTGAGGTGCACACAAACAAGTTAAATAACATTTTATATATATATATATATACCATTTAAAGTAAGAACTTTTAGCAGATGTGTGATTGATACGAAAAAATGCAGTTACACCAAATGTAATGTAGCCTATGTGTAGAAGGACAATGCACCAATGCAATGGAACACCACAATGTATTCATAAAACACTGGAGATTCACACTGTCTACTTTTTACTCATTGTACCTGCTCAATCAGGACAAATTAAGCTAAACTAATTTACTACTACTACTACTACTACTACTACTACTACTACTACTACTACTACTAGCAGTGTGCTTTAAAATGTAGGGCTATTAAGTCAAAAGCTTTGACCTGGTCTGAGCTTTGTTTTAAGCTAATAAGTAACATGAGCAATAGGTCTAAAGACATTGATGAGGGGTAAATAAAAGCGGCGTGTGCTTTTTTCTTGGGAGACTATCCCTGCTTTTATAATACTTGTCTGGTGTCGCTTTTTGTGAAATTACTTTGATACTACATCTGTAAATTAAATAATCTGTGACCTCAGTTTGAGCTCATTTACACCTCAGTACATTGTGTCCAACATAGCTGGAGCTGAATGTAACGTTTAGCAAAAACAAAAAAAAATGTAATTAAATATTGCTAAGAAAACCTCTGTTACTACACAACAGCATTTTTCTGCTTGTGTTACTATATTAAGCATTCTTATTGAGGTGACAAGCTCGCATGCGTCAAACTGCGGTAACCGGGGACACGCACAGCTGTTCTGCGCATGCGCCCAGCGTGCCTATCAGATGAGAACAGAAAAGTCTGGAAATATCATGAGGAGGTGCTGAAGTACTCAGTCATTTCAATGGGCATTTTCACCATGTTCGGGTGCTCATGGAGAACGTACTCTCTGTGTCTACTGAACTCGTCCTGATGTGGAACTATATTCAGTAAAAACCTAATAAACCTGTGGGAGTACAATTTCCTATTTTGGTGGATCGACTAGACACCAAAACTAAATTTTCTCTGTCTGCAGTGATTCTCAGACCTGGATTATTTTGGGAACTGGACCGTCAGGCTAATGTGACCACTGTAATTTCACACGCCTTTTTTGACAAGGAATAAGGAATGATAAATCAAAAACCCTCTCATGGAATATGTTTCAGTCCACAGCTCTCAATAAAGGCACATCTATTGGGCATTACATCGGCTTCAAATATGGATATAATGTGATGTGGGTCTCAGTGTATAAATGGTTACAAGAAGGCAGCAGCTTTCGACGTTGAGACAATGTTGCAAATACATGCATGTAAAGACGGTAAAAGAGAAACAAATCTCTTCTATGGTAGCCTATAAAGCGAAATAAGTATCTGTATAAAATAGTAACTATTATTTACGGGTTATTGACTTTAGTTTGGTCCGTAAGTATGTATAAGGGCTAGTATTCAAATGTAAAGCAAGTAACGCAGCCTTTTCTTTGTCTAACGCCATTTTGTGTGACTTTATAGCACTAACGTTGTCGTCAGCCATTTTGCTTTTCTTTTGTAGTAGACAACCTCCGGAGAGACATGTCAAAGCGGAATTATATTATATTCCCATGGTTGTGTGAAAATGTAGCTAACCTTCAAAAATAATTAAATTAAATTAAAGAACTTACCCATTGCATGAGCTGTTTGTGGCGCAGTTATTGTCTGCATTTTTTATTAACGTTCGCAGCTCTGATTTACGCGAAAACAGATGAAAAATAACAAGCTGTGGACATTTTTGTGAGCTGGTTTTGTGCTGACCTTAAATCCATGTGCTATGCTAATACATATTTGTTGGTTCCTCTGCGAGCTGTGTGTGATGTACCACCTTCAAATTCATGATATAGGCCCTGTGGCGTAGTCTGCATTCTGTATTATATTATGGTTATATTTAATTTAATCGAATATAGCTATTTATCTATTAGAGGTCACCAGAAAGAGTCATAAGAAGATCGGTGATGCAGCCTTTGTAAACTACGCCCCAAAACTGTGGAACACGTTACCCAACAATATTAGGGAAGCCAATCTGTTAGACATTTTTAAAAGGCAGCTTACAACCTATCTCTTTACCAAAGCATTTAACTGACTTTACACTATTATACTGCACTATTTCTCTGTGATTGACATTGCACTATTTCTCTATGTTTTATTCCCCATGTTTTTATGTTTAATTATTTTATCCCACTTTATGCTTTGCTCTTGCTGCTTGTTTTACACTGATTTGATGTCTTATTTCTTACTGATGTAAAGCACTTTGAACTGCAATCCCCTGTATGAAAGGTGCTATACAGTAAAATAAAGTTATTATTATTATTATTTGTGTCCATTATAAAGGTAAAGAGAAAAACTCTTATTCCGTTTCTAACTAATTAAAGGCAATATAAAATGCATTCTTAAACCTGCATGCCCTAATCATACCAATTAGTGAGACAATGACAATGATCAGCTAGTTTTCTTAGCTTATTATTTTAATATAACATAAAGTAAAACTGTCTTATTTGGCCATATATTTATCAGTAGGCTGTGGAAAGGTTTACAACGGCCCCAGGCTACAGAAAGATTTGGAACAATGACTCTCCCCAGGAGTATGAGCAGCATCTCTCCAAGATTGCAGCATTAATTAATCAAAGACGTCACAAAGACTCCTATGAAATCATCCATAACTGCAGGTTTGTCAACTGAGGCAAGTTTGATGATCTATGAGTCATAAAGGAAATCACATTTATAAGAGAACAGCAGACAGCATAGGTGGAAGATATGCATGATAAGAAAGTTATGTTCGTAAGATTATACTGTTGGTATTTTTAATATTTTACATATAAGGGCTTTTTTTTTAACAAATTGAACTAATATGTTTCTTGGACTTTTTAATGAAAAAACATTACATCTAAATACAAAATAATGAATTGAGGATGCAGCAATAATAGTACTTAATTTAAAAGAAGTCAACAAAAAAATGAAATCCCTATCTCTGATGTTCTTTCTCTTGGGCCTTTGGTCTTCGGTGATGCTCTCTTTTGACGTATTCTGTGTAATCCTCTTCCTCCTGTGAATATGACAGATGAATTATTACTCATAAAAAGATCACACATTATATTGAGCATTTCATGGGGTTGGCTCCAACCATATATATATATATTTTTAATAATCACTGTATCGACTGTGTATGCTTTCTTTTTTGAAATGCTTAACTGTTTTATCAGGCTAGCTCAGTGAAAGGAAAAGTAAGCTCAGTATTCAGAGTTTGAGAACACTTTGACCTCATTCTGTCTTGGAGATCTTACCTTCTCCACCTGGGATACAAGTTAGAGAAGTTCAGCCTCATCTTGGGACCCAGTCTAATGAACACATTGCTATTCTGCCCCAGTTTTCTGGGTCCCGATGGACAAAAAGTGCTTTCAGCCCTGTGCGCTGCTTCCAGGGAGACTCACTGACCTGCGAGGATGTGGCATCCAGCAGATCCATGGTGGGGATTAGACAGCCAGCCTCACCCAGGAAACACATTATGATGTGGAGAACATCAGCCCAACGTCCAACAGTCAGCATCAGGACCATCAAACCCCCGAGACGCACCACCACCGTGTTCAGGACAGCCTGGCTGCCGGGCAGCCGGTGCTGCTCCTCTGCAGAACCAACACATAGAATTAGGGGGAAGTAAAAATGAGAATGAAAAGTAGATCTATACAGCAGCAGGGTGTGAAGATAATGATGGATGCATTTTTTCATTAATGGCCGGATTCATCAGTGTCTCATGTGTGTTTACAGTGGAGGAAAGAGTTGATAATTTAATTTACTTAATTTAACTTACTAATACCACAGTCCAGAAATACTTAATTTCAAGTATTCAAATAGAGTTCTAAATGTTATTAAAGTAAAAGTAGACGAATATTATCAGCGAAATGTACTCAAAAGTAAAAGTACTCATTGTGAAGAATGGCTCTTTCAAAAGTGTTGTATTAATATAGAACATTATCAACAAATACATATAAGAGCTGTTTTAATGTTGTAACTCATCACTGTTGAGTAAATTGTGTACTTTGTGTACAACTGAGTGAAAGCCTGAAAGCCTATATCAAGACATCATATTTATGTAAAAAGTAGTAACTACAAGTGTCAAATAAGTGGAATTAAAATTCCAATATTGATAGATGATGGAGATGTTGTGTAGAACTGTAGAACGCAGCTGAAATTGGAAATACTCAAGTAGGCTACAGGAGGCTATAATGCTACAGTAAATGTCCTTAGTTAATTTCCTCCACAGAGTGTTTCAAAATAATCTCTGACATGTTTCCCACTTGGCATGTTCCTCACCCTGCATGTACACAACCAGCAGTGTGTAGCAGATAGTGAGGGGGGTCCAGAACCTGAGGGCCTCAGTTGCAGACAGGAAGTGTTGATTGATGATTAATATGGCGGCCACCACAGCCACAGAGAAGGTGATGATCATGGCCCTGCACAGCATGGGCAGCACACAGCGGCCGGATGTGAGCAGGCCGATGCAGATGCCGCAGTAGCGCTGTGAGCTGTGCAGTTTATACATAGCCGTGACGTGCTGCAGCAGCCGGGTGGTCTGCCGGGACAGAAACCAGCTGAGAGCAGCCGCCAGCAGCAGGCACAGCCAGCGCTGCGGCGCCCCCTCGTGGAGAAAGTGAAGACTGCATGTCAGGGCACAGCCGAGAGAGAACTGGCTCTGCATTAACAGCTGCTGCACGAATTTACTGTACTCCTGGGGAATGAAGAAGCATATGAACAGAAGTAATGTATGCTCCAAATGAGATGATGGCTGATTGTGATGATAGAGTCATCAAGATGGCATACATTCCAGGAGGGATAGTAAAGGTGCACTAGTCCATTTTAAGGTTTGGGTTATTTTGGCTTCCATAACTATCTTCTTTCACACCAGTAGAAAAAACCTTTTGTTTGTTGGACCAGAGTTGTCAATTTGGGTCTATAGATTCCTCATTAATTGGCGAACAGTTAGTATTTGATAATGCCTTATATTTAACTTAATATTTCAGTAAACTTATTACGACCACAAATCAAGTTAACTAAATATGAATGGTAATTTGTTTTAAATATTCACCTGTATGTCCTGGAAAATGTATGGAATTTTACAAGAAATCTCTTTTTTAGGATGCTTTCCCAAAATGAGACAGAAATCTCCACTTCTACAGCATTTACATAGCAAACTTTCAAGATGCAATCCTAATTATGATCCAAAGATGTAAGCATAGCCTGATTCACAACATTGTTTCCCTAAAGAATTCCTGTGGCAAAATGTATTTTGTTTTATGGCTGTGTTGACAGTATGTTCTGTTAATAAGATATTTACAAAATTCCTTCTGGTAAAAACCTTTGACTGTAATATGTCGTATTTTCACCAGATACGGCCAGATTCCTGCTTTGAATATATATGAAGTACAAATGCCTCAATTGCCTATTTTAACATACACTTTCAACATGTCCTAATGTAAGTTAAAAGCTAGAGAGGTTTAATGGTGATACATGTATTAGTTTATCCTTTGTACCTTATTCACTTGTATCTCCTCTTAACTCAGCATTATTGAGCAATAGAAGACTGGAAAAGTCTTTTGTTTTTAAACAACATAATTAATTTCGTACCTTTCCCGCTGTAACCAGTCCAGACACAGCTCGAAGACAAAACTCCAGTACCACCAGGGAGGCAACACGAGACCCCACCACAGACAGCATCACAGTCACAAACAGGAAGTGGAGCATCCCAAAAAGTCCAGGTTTAGTTTTGCTTTGATGGCTCTGTGTCCTCTTGATAGTTTCTTTTTCATTGTTATCACAGCTACTATAGGAGGTTAGAAATCAAATCAAGAAATAAATAAAACTGAACTATACAAGATCTGTACCAGCACTAAATACAATATTATTGATAATGGTGCAAATCTTACAAGCATGGTTGGGTAATGTAAATGAGCAAAAAGAGATATATTAAGAATCCTTACCTCTCTTTTTCTAGAAATAAGTGCAGTCTTATGAGGGAGCATAGCAGAGAGATCCCACATGCACCTACCAGTCCTGCAGATCATGTAACATTAACATTTTAACTGATGACACACACATACAGTTTAAAAAACTCCAGCAATGTGGACGTCAGAGAACATAAAACTCACCTTGAAGCAAACTATCCAGTGGATTTATATCAAGAGTCAACCAAGCCGGCAGGAAGTAGGAAGTGGGAATGAGCGATCTAACAAAGGAGAACATCGTACTACCTTTGGCCTTTAAACGTAGTAGGTTTTAGCAAAATAATCCATGGAGGAAAATGTAAGTGAATTGAATCGCAGACGTGTTTTTGGTATTCCAGATCAGGTTACAAACATGTGGAGGAACAGCTCAGCTCTTCTGTTTATTTCTGTTGCCTCAGCGCTGTCCTGTGTACCAAAGGTCACAGGAGTATCGCTGGAGCAGAGGCCTTCAGAGTCATTACAAGATAATGGAGCTTACTGCGCCATACTTTACACTCTACATTGATGGCAGGGGGTGTTTTCAAATTATCTGTGAGTTGCATTGTAAGCATTGCTCCAATGATGACTTCTTTATCTAATAGATCTTGTTTTAAAACATGATTTTGCCTGGAGGTTTATTTCAGTTTTGTTTTTTATAGAGACTGAAATACCACAAGGCTGGTCATTCCGAATGAAAACAAAAAGGCAAACTTCCAACACGAGGGATTTAAATGAAATCAACCGAAAAATAAATGATGCCTGTCTTTAAAGATGCAGAGCTCAAATATGATATCTGTTCTACAGGTTTGTGTGCATGTAAATGGTCTGCAAAGGCTCAAATCCCAAAGTTTCTATCCCACAGTTTGTAAAGTATTCATGATTAATAAAATAAATGTCCAGTACAAGTTATGTCTAAATTCACTCAAAAAGGTAATAATCAATCAGCACTGTAGAGAAAGCAATGTGTTGGCATTCAACATCCTGCTGTCATTGTCTCCAGTGTCTCATTATCGAGTGTTATTCCAGATAGGAAAATAGTTTTAGCATATTACCAAGAATCATCCTAAAACGATCTTACTCGAGCTGGTGCTTTAAAAACATATTTTATTACCATGTCATATTTGTATACATATAAATTCACAGATTTTTCAGCTGTTAAAACTGTTCCTTTAACACAACATTTACAACAACTTTGAATGAATCACATAAGAATGGGTAAACATAACCACTGGTTGCACGGGTAAACACACCCAGGTCCCGGTTACTGCGTAGGAACCCACCAAAGACTCTCACACTGCATCCCTCCCCCGTCTGTAATGCTGTAGATACCATGCACAGACCTGCTATGACTCAGTGCGACATTATAGTGGGATATAAAGGTCTAACAAACACCCTGTGGGGAAAAGACCATCTCTGGGGAGCTTTGGGAAAAACAATTCCCTGACAAAACAGTGAAGATGCAACACAGCTGAGGGTTGAACTGATACCTGTTGTCAGTAGAAGATGCTGGTGATATTTGTTGTAATGGTGTTTTCCATCTTCCCTGGGATTTTATCGTCATGGTGTGACAGCTCTTCTTTGATCATAATGTCACATTAAAGATGTGCATGGAAAGCATTAAACACAATTCATAACAACCATATTCATGCTTATCTGTGTGGCATGGGATCCAATCGGTCTCTGAAACAGTAATAATTCTGAATAAAATGTCAGTGTGTGTATGATCTATGTTTTTTTACGATTGTTATTAAATAGCAAATTGAGTCATTTATATAGGCAGCTGTAGTCTTTGGGACTCCTCAAAGCGCTTTTATATATAGAAGTCTTCTTTTAGACAGTTTCCAGCTGCGATAGACTGTGTTTTATACTCTTATCATTGTTTAACATCATCCCAGGCCTACGTTTTCTGAGCTCTCTCTTCCACATAGAGCTGCATCTGTAAAAGATAGAGAGCAATCAATAAACAATAAGAGCAATTTGGGGAATTTCAAGAGGATGCATTTCAACAAAACTTTATTTATAGCAGATGCACTGATTGAGAGGGATGCTTACTTTTACTATGTCGGATGTCATGGTCTTCAGCGGGATGAGTCTCGGCTCCTGCATGTGGGCCTCCTGCTCATCAGCAACTATCCATGGAAAGTCCTGAGGAGGGAAATGCACAAATGTGACAGATTATTTATTATTATTATTGTTCAGTGTTACCATATTATAAGAGGTGATTATAATACGAGCAAAAAGTAAACAGATTCAGACTCTACTATTATATTCACAATCCCACACCATTATTTAAAGGAATACCTTTTTTAAATTCATGACAAATGAAATTGTATGGAGGCACAGTCAAACATTGTATTTTGTATTTCATTCAAAATGCTTTTTTCCCATTAATGTTACTTGGATTATACTGCATAAGCGGTATGGATGTGAAAATGGATGTTTTGTTCTAAAGGCAGTTTTACTTGACTGTGGACGCATGCAAGAGAAACACTTTTTTTTAATAATTCAAGGTAACAGTCAATAAGTAAATGATATACACATGGCAGTTTAGGGGCTATGAAGTATTCTATTAATGTGTATGTTTGCATTTTTTAAAACCTCACCTTAATGACTTGAACCTTCTCCATGTTGCGAGTAGCAGCATCTCTGGTGTGTACCAGCACTGAAAATGAACACCCTGTGACAAACAACAAGTCAAAAAGAAATGTAGGAATTGTATTTACTCCAACTGGAACATCAATTAAAGTATGATATGATCTCAACACACTGACATTAAAGCTTGGTTCCCATCTGACGTTCTAGTCCTTAGACTTGTTACTTTAATGCATGCTACTTTTGAAGAGTTAGATCAGGGAATTTGCTACCCTGAACCATGCCTTACAGGCTTATCATTCACCCCAGGTTCACCCAAATCCTGCCTCCTTTTTCAAGATTGGCAGATAACACTTTAAGCTGGGCAGAGTTTTGTCAGGGAATCAGAGCAAATCACTTTTTTAGAATCTTCAAAGAAGTGAATCTTCATATCATTAGTGACGTTACCTGGTGGGTTATTGTTTAAGACAGCATCACACACACTGATCTTCAGGATGAATGCCCTCAGCAGCTGCTCCACATGTGACAGTAAAGTGTCTGAGCTGTAAAAACAAAACCAAAGGCAGTTAGTGTGTTAGTGTGACTACTGATTTTTTTTTTTTAAAAGAAGAAAGGGAATTACCTGATGGACAGCAGTGGAGGTTGGGACATCTCAAACACAAATCTCTCTACTGGATGATGCTCTTTGTCCATGATGACCACCACCACCTTCTCTGCATCGTTCTGGGAGGGAAATGAAAAACTTCAGCAGGGAATCCATGTAGATAAGAGATGGCAGGCGTCTCCTAAATTAACCACGTCAGCATCAGTGCTGGACAGTACCTAATGTACATTTGCTGGAGTAGCTTGTTCTATATGAGTTTGAAGTACTTGTACTTCCCTTGGGCATTTTCTTCTCATGCCACGTTATACCTTTACTTACCAATTTAGATTTTTTAAAAACATAATAATTAATAAAATATTAGGTTTTGTTGTTAATTAAACTACCCAACAGTTGGTACTGCTGAAAGACTTAGGAGATGAATCAATAAGATGATGAACTTTTTTGATTGTTTAGGTAATGTTTCTTTAGCAGATTTGCTGCTTTTGCCCTTCATTGATTAATTAATAAAACAAACATTGTGAAGGTGTCACTTTGGGTTCTGAGTGCATATCTCACAATTTTCACAAACTGATTATTTTGTTCAATCATATAATGGACAAAATACCCAACAGATTGGTTTATAATAAGAGTTAACGATAACCTCTACAAACTACAGGTTTCTCGATATGTTCTGGTATATGTATATTCTGGATATTAATCTAGAGATATAATATGTATTTGTATAAGAGCCACGGGAGACATTTTCTTCATTTAGTACTTTCAATACTTGAAGTATATTCTTCTTATTATACACAGAATTTAGATGCATGGCTATTACTAACATAATATTTTTAACAGTGGTAACTAGTACTTAAATCAAATCATGTTTTATTTATATAGCACATTTAAAAACGATTTTTGGTCGAGCCAAAGTGCTGTACATGCAATAAAAACACTTTACTACAATAGCAAACAGAAGACAATAGTTTACATCAGCAAATATAAAGATAAAACACAGGGAAATATCAGGAGTCGTACTCCGCTCTGACTAGAAGGCCAGAGAGAAGAAGTGAGTCTTTAGTGTAGATTTAAAAACCCCTAGGGTCTGGGCCGACCTCACATGGAGGGGCAGACTGTTCCAGAGCCTAGGGCCAGCTGCTGCGAAGGCTCAGTGCCCTCGGGTTTTGAGCCTGGTCTATGGCACTATCAGCAGCAGCTGGTCAGCAGACCTTAACATTACATTGCATTTAGCTGACGCTTTTATCCAAAGCGACTTACAATAAGTGCGTTCGACCAACAAGATACAACCTTGAAGAAAACAGAATCATATAAGTACATCAGGCTTCATAGAGCAAAAACATTTCAAGTGCTACTCAACTGGCTTTAGAAAAGCCAGTCCTTTATTAGTATAAAAGTGCTTTGTTAGCAATTCTATCGCTCGAAGTGGAGTCGAAAGAGACGAGTTTTCAGTCTGCGCCGGAAGATGTGCAAGCTATCTGCTGTCCTGATTTCAATGGAGAGCTCATTCCACCATTTTGGAGCCAGGATAGCAAACCCACGTGTTTTTGCTGATGGGTGCAGCGAGCCGTTTGGCTGATGCAGAGCGTAGTGCACGTGCTGGGGTGTACGGTTTAACCATGTCCTGGATGTAGGAAGGGCCAGATCCATTCGCAGCATGGTAAGCAAGTACCATTGTCTTGAAGTGGATTCTAGCAGTTACCGGAAGCCAGTGGAGGGAGCGGAGGAGCGGCGTGGTGTGGGAGAATTTAGGAAGGTTGAAGACCAGACGAGCCGCTGCATTCTGGATGAGCTGCAGAGGTCGGATGGCACATGCAGGTAGACCAGCCAGGAGGGAGTTGCAGTAGTCTAGGCGTGAGATGACGAGAGCCTGGACCAGAACCTGCGTCGCTTTCTGGGTCAGCTGGGGACGTATCCTCCTGATGTTGTAAAGCGTGTATCTGCAGCAACGGGTTGTAGCAGCGATGTTTGCAGTGAAGGACAGTTTGTTATCTAGGGTCACACCCAGATTCTTTGCAGTCTGAGTCGGGGAAACAATAGAGGTGCCGATGTTGATTGTTAGGTCAAGAGTGGGACAATCTTTTCCTGGAAGGAAAAGCAGTTCAGTCTTCTCAAGGTTGAGCTTGAGGTGGTGAGCAGACATCCACTGAGAAGGTCCCATGTCATGCTTTTCTGGTTATTACACGTCCCCTTGTGTGTTATGTAGCTTTTTCTGCATGTAAACGGTCTGCAGAGTCACAAACCCTCAAAGTACACC